CTCGACGCCCGAATCTGGACGTGTTTGTGCAGATGTGCAGAAGATTGAGTTTGATCAACCGCGCATCTCCACAAACGCGTCCAGATTCGGGTGTTGAGGTAACTCAACGCTGCTACTACCGTCTCCCCCCGAACACAACGCACCCTCATTCTGACTGTATCTGGCCGGAACGTACCTTGTATACGTTCCTTTTCAGGGTGCGTTATGTTCGGCCGAAGTCGGTAGTAGTGGGACTTGGTCGCGGCAGTAGACAGAAACCGCTTGCCGGGATTCCTCGTTTCTTGCCGTCGATCATTGGGTCTCGCTCTACCACTCATCATTCGACACGTATCTGGGCTTCTCCGTGGACCACATACATTCCGACGAATCGAACTCGTTGAATGTATTGGGTCCATTTCGCCAGCTCCAGAAGGCTTTAGCATTTTCTGCAGTTGAGCGAGGCCCTACGTATACTGTCGATCGTTAGGAACCAAAGGTTCCCTCAAGTGACAACTCGTTGGGCCCAAAAAAACGAACAAAGCTTGGATCCTGACTCGCGCCCCCGGGGCAAGGTCCCACTTGCGCCGAGTAGGAGACTTCGGCCGTTGATCTTTGCTATCTACGGTCAGTGTCTCTTAATTCGTGCAAGTGGGACCTAGCCCCCGGTATCGAAAAGGGCAAGTGCGAAACTACTCGCGCTCCACTCTCCTTTCACTAATATGAATCTACCTGCCACTACTCCTATAAGCGATTTCTATAATTCGTGCGATTTCTATTATTATTCGTTTCCTCCACGAGTTATTCATGTTACCATTGCGCAATAGAAAAGGGACATCCTCATCTTCTCGCTATCGTTCGAATTCCACCGCATGTCTAAATATCTCAACAGCTCTGTTGAGCGACCAAGGGTCCTACCAACTCAGCTGTTACACTCAAGGAACTGTTTGACATTTAGGCCCGAATTCGAATCCTGGTGCAATCAGACGAACAGAATCCAAAGAAAAATATGAATTACCTCGGGCCAAGCCGCTCGAAAATGATATCTCAAGGCAGTCACCCTTCCTTCCAATTCTAACGCATGTCCCCAAGGACTATTCCAGCGTTTAGTACTATATCTGTTATGGTTTACTATATCTGTTATGCGATCAACGGGCCTAGCTCCGTTGAAACAACAAAATAACCTGCTGAAATGCAGACCTGAGTTTGAATCCAAATGCAATCAGATGAACAGAAGCATTTTTTTTTTTAACTTTTTTTTTGGATGAAAAAGCTATTCTAACAGAATCAAATAATTCCGAATTGCCTGGCGCTGATCACCTCGAAAGAAGATATCTCAATCTCAACGCAGTCGCCCTTTCTAAAAACAATAAATTCATACATACATACATACATACATACATACATAAAAATAAACATATGTCGTGCAGAGCACGGACAGGAAAACCTTTTTCTTGATCTCAATCTCAACCTTAGAATTACGGGGTAACACCATTTCCGCGGTCTCTACGGTGTATGTGGGACCTGGCCCCGGTTGAGTCCTGTTCATGTGTTTAGGGAAACGCGGGGGGAGGGACACACACACACACACACACACACACAGAGTGCCCTTCCCTACGGACCTAATTTTGGGTGTATGTGGGCTAGATCCCACTTGCACGAATTAAGAGATACTGACCGTAGATAGCAAAGATCAACGGCCGAAATCTCCTAACTTGCGCAAGTGGGACCATGTCCCCGGCGGATGCAGAGCAAGGACAGGAAAACCTTTTCCTTGATCGCGGAAATGGTGTCACGGTGTCACCCCTTAGAATTACGACAGGTCTACTCCACGGTGTATATGGAAGCTGGGCCCAAGTCCCACGTATGCTGATTCTCCATTTCTGACCGTAGATCTTCGTAATCTGCGGTCAGAAATTGACAATTCGAGGAAGTGGGACTTGGCCCTGGCCCCGGGAACCCGGGACGCTCGCATCGAGAGAGCAGGAGGGCGGAATCCCAGCAATCACCGGGAAGTGGCGGGGGGCTACCAGAGTACGTTCGGGGGCGAAACCTCGCTCGCCCTGATCTTCTGTTCCGGACCGCAGATTCAAAGAGGACCCAACGGCTAGGAACAAAGCCAAAGCAGGGTGCAGTGGGGGAAAACCCGGGCCCGGGTTTGGGTGCGTGAAAAATCGCCCTCGTCAGAAAAAGGTCCAAACGCGGCGCGCACCCGGGACCACCAGCCAGCCAGCCATTGGGCCTCTCGCTCCACTACTCACCAGATGCACAAAAAGACAAAAAATAAGACGGTGTACCTTTCCTTGCTCTAGCGCTAGATTCATTCCACAATGTGCGCGCGTTTGGTAAGCAGCGGAGCGCGGGCCATACCACCACACCGCCGACGATCGTAAATGCTCCCAGGGCCCAGGTCCCACTAGCAGCGTTGAGTTTCCTCAACGCCTGAATCTGGACGTGTCTGAGGATATGTGCAGAAATCGCCTTGAGTTTTCTCAACTGCACATCTCCACGAAAGCGTCCAGATTCTGGCGTTGAGGAAACTCAACGCTGCTAGCAGTGGGACCTGGCCCCAGGTAGCAGAAGCCGACAACGTTCCACCCGAAGATCTCGACAGGTCGGGACCCGACCGGTCGGGACCGCGGCCTATCGTCCTCGGATAGAAATACTGTAATTTCGGTCGCGATATTCGCGATCGTTTTCTTTTTTTTTTTTTCCTTTTTTTTTAATTCGCGATCGTTTTCATTTTCGTCGTTCACCCCGCTGCGGCTAACCGTCGCAGCCTCACCCGACTACCGTCTTCACTGCTAATAGAACGCCTGGTCATTATACCCGTACTTGGTCCTCGTAGCAGTCCAGATACAGAGGTGATGACCAGACGTTGAATTCTTGTCGGTTGGTGAACCCGACACGTACGGCAGGATCAGGGTAATCGAGGGTCAAAAATGAACAATAGGGGCTAGTGGGATCTGGCCCTAACCTACCTCAACCTCAGTGCCTGTCAACGCGCACAATGTGCGCAGGCTGCTGATCAGCTGCTCAAGTGGTACCTGATTCTCCGCCTACCCGCCCGCCCGTCCGCCCGCCTACCCGCCTGCCGTCATTTCATCGCGATGCTCTATTTCTGTGGATAAGGGCGAGATCCCACTGGCAAAGAGGGATTGTAGCAAGTGTCTGAATGTGGATGTTTTTGTAGACAGGTGCAAAAATTTGAGATCGATCTACTTCTCTGCACCTCGGCGTGGAACACCGTCCAGATTCAGGCACTTCTCCCAATCCTCTTTGCCAGTGGGGTCTGGTCCCAAACGGCCTCTCTGTCAACGAATCGAAGTGGCGGGAAGGGGCGGGAAGTGGCGGGAAGGGGGCCGGGAGGCGCGGCGTGGGGGGTGTCCAGCCATTTTCTTAGCGGGATCAGCCTCTAATTAGAAGGGATTTCTTCCGTCAGCGACCCTTCACCCCCAGCCATTTTCTTATTAATTAAAAGGGATTTCTTCCGTCAGCGACCCTTCACCCCCACCCGCTTTACTCAAATGGTTAGATTGCGTGCATGCAAACGCCCCCCCCCCCCCCCCCCCCCCCCCCCCCCCCCCCCCCCC